ATAACCTTTACCGAGGCTGACAAACAAGTACCATTTCCACATAACCGTCCCCTCTACGTCCCAGTATTCATCAATGGGATGGAGTTTCAAAGAGGATTCATGGATGGAGGAGCTTCACTCAATGTGATGCCTTATTCTACTTTTCAGGCGGCCGAGATCCCACAAAAGCACATAGTCAGACAACCCATCTCCATCACCGGTTTTGGAAGCCAAAAAATTAAAACCATAGGTCATGTCCAGTTAGACTTAGCAGTGGGACCAATTCGCTCTACTACTAAGTTTCATGTTATAGAAGCACAGACGACCTATCAGGCTCTCCTAGGGAGAACTTGGCTTCACAGATATGCTGCGATTCCGTCCACCTACCATCAATGTGTCAAAGCAATCTACAACAATGAAGTAGTAGCCGTAGCTGGCTCTCAAAAGCCTTTTCGAGTAGATGAAGCCCACATGGCAGATGCAGTATTTTACAATCATGTCGACGAAGACGAACCTCCCCTGCCACTCCGAGGAACTCCTGTACCTGACTGGGATGACTTCTCTGAAGAAGGTTCATCACCACCTCGCAGAAAGACGTTCACCAAATCAGAGCCCTCAAGAAAGCTCCCTAGAGTCACCAGGATTCAAACAAAAGATGGTAGAGTGATATACCGTTTATGACGGTGCGCGGGGTTGGCAAATGTTACCAATGCCGACCCCCAGCTAGACGACGTAGCAATTGTCCATCGTGAACTAAGTGGAGAAGATCACTATTGTTACACCTTGTCCGCGCTGGCCCAACGCTCGCCAATGGAAAAGAAGAAAAAAAGTAGAGACAAGAAGAGCAGAAAGAGAAAAAAAGTTGTGGCTTTCCCAGCAACGGATAAACACTCTGACAAATTCCATTGTCCTGCGGTAACTCGTTTGGATGGAGCCAAAGGCTCAAAAGTTAAACCCCTCAAGGCAGCCATTTCATCTCCTAACCAAGTCCCTGCCAAGCAAGATGGATTGCAAGAAGTCCGACCGGCTCCGGAGTGTTTACAGGATGGTCCTAGGCCCCAAAAACAAGAACTGGAAGAAATCGACATCGCCTCTGAAGGAGAACCCAGGCGTCCTATCTTCATTTGCAAAGATCTCCCAGCAGAACAAAGGGGGCCCCTCATCGAGTTGATCAGAAAATATTCGGACGTTTTCGCATGGACATATGAAGAAATGCCAGGATTAGACAAAGATGTTACCATGCACCGTCTGAACGTCATCCCCCTGGCTCGCCCAGTCAAGCAAGGAGTAAGATTTTATAAGCCCGAGGTGGAGCTCAACATCAAGGACGAAGTGGTGAAGCTGCTTGGAGCAGGGTTTATCAAACCCATCCAACATCCCACCTGGCTTTCTAGTATCGTCCCAGTTTTCAAAAAGAATGGTCAAATTCGAGTGTGCGTCGATTTCAGAGATCTAAACAAATCTTGCCCCAAAGATGAGTTCCCACTCCCAAACATAGACACCTTGATTGATTTAGTGGCGGGTCATCATATGCTCTCATTCATGGATGGCTTCAGCGGCTACAACCAGATCAAGATGGCTCCAGAGGATGCCCCAAAGACAGCATTTCGCACTCTTATAGGCAGCTTTTTCTATACTGTAATACCTTTTGGACTGAAAAATACAGGAGCAACATACCAGAGAGCTATGACAGCATTTTTCATGATATGTTGCACAAGTCCTTGGAATGTTACATTGATGATTTGGTGGTGAAATCCAAAGAGGAGACTAGTCACCTCAAAGACCTCCAAAGAGTTTTTGAACGTTGTAAGAAATACAGACTCAGAATGAACCCGCTTAAGTGCGCATTCGAAGTCACTGTCGGCAAGTTCCTTGGCTGTATCGTTCATCGCCATGGGATAGACCCCGACCCAGCAAAGGTCGCCGCCATCAAAAATATGCCACGACCAACCAGTCTAGACGAGTTGAGAATCTTCCTTGGTCGGGCATCCTACTTGAGACGGTTCATCCCAGCTATGGCCGAAATAACACAACCCTTCAATTCATTACTGAAGAAGGATGTCAGGTTCATTTGGAATGAGGAACACCAACAAGCATTCGAAGGAGTGAAATCAGCTTTAACATCCCCTCTCTCCATAGCTCCTCCTCAGCCGGCGAGGCCCTTACTCCTCTACATCACTTCCACGCCGAAATCAGTTGGCGCTCTGCTCGCCCAGGAAATTGACGGACTTGAACGGCCCGTGTATTACATAAGCAGAGTCATCCAAGGGGCTGAGGTCCGATATTCCCCCATTGAACGACGCTGCCTCGCCCTAGTGTTCGCAGCCAAAAAGCTCCGCCATTACCTTCTTTCTTATCCCATCCATCTCATGACCAGGAGTGATCTTATCCGCTTTCTCCTCACTAGACCAGCGCTCTCTGGCAGGCCAGCTCGCTGGCTCCTATCATTAGCAGAATACGATATCACTTGCGAAGCTTCCAAGGCCATCAAGAGTCAAGCGCTTGCCGACCTCTTAGCTCACTTCCCTAGTGGAGAACATGAACCGCCTTCGGATGAATTGCCAGGTGATGAGTTCCAAGCAGCTGAAGTAAACATCGAAGGAGAATGGAGTTTGAGTTTCGATGGATCGTCCACCTCTAAAGGGGGAGGAGATGGAATAGTCCTTATTTCTCCAAATCAAACCGAAGTCAATTTGTCATATAAACTGGATTTTAAATGCTCTAACAATGAGGCAGAATACGAAGCCTTGATATTAGGGCTTATGGCAGCACTCGACCTAGGAGTAAGTCTCCTATGCATCAAAAGCGACTCTAATTTGGTGGTCAAGCAGACCAATGGAGACTATGCTATCAAAGAGCCCCCTTTAGCCTCATACAGAACCATTGTCCAAAGGTTGACAGACAAATTTGACACGGTAAGGATAGAACACGCCCCTCGTTCCAACAATCGACACCCAGACGCCCTTGCTACCTTGGCTTCTAAAGTAGAATTCGCCGAAGAATCAACTAAGATAGAAGTTCTGAAGCGCTCCATGCCGTGCTCGGTAACAACTATTTTTCCTGAAAAAGAACCCGCCGATTGGAGAGCCCCAATCATCAATGAGCTTCGCACCCCCTCAGGTAAACTACCTTTGTGCGAAATCAAACACTTCACGATTTACCAAGGAGTCCTTTATTACAGAGGGCCTGGGGGTCTGTTAGCACGATGCATCGACTTTACCGAAGCCAAGTCTAAGCTAGAAGGGGTTCACAACCGTTCTTGCGGAACAGGAGACGTGAGCCTCTACAGGAGGCTACGACGACAAGGATATTATTGGCCTACTATGGCCAAAGAAGCAAACGACCTTCAGGGAAAGTGCACCAAATACCAGGAATTCCCTCCAAAAGCTGAATGTAATTTCGCAGAAATCACCTCCGATTGGCGTCAGGTGTATATAGATTACCTCAAAGAAGCATCATTGCCGCCAAATCGTTCTGCAGCAGCAATAATTAAGAAGCGAGCTTCGAAATTCTTTTTGCACGAAGGGCAACTTTTCAGGCGTGGCTTTGACGGGAAGCCTTTACGCTGCTTATCGGGAGCAGAAATCCATAAAGTTTTAGAACTTGCTCATGGGTCGGAGCACCAAGGCGGAGCCAAGCTATTCTAACATCTTTTGCATATAGGTTATTATTGGCCCACCATGGAAGCGGACGCCAAAATATATGCCAAACGCTGCAAACCTTGTCAAGTCCATGGTAACCTTATTCACGCACCAGCCACTGATCTGCATAGTTCGAGCTCACCATGGCCTTTCCACACATGGGCTATGGATCTTATTGGCCCCATCTCTCTACCGTCAAAGGGACACATATGGATCGTAGCAGCCACAGAGACTTATACTAAGTGGGTAGAAGCCATCCCCCTGAAGAAGGCAACATGAGCCGCTGTCTCCAATTTCATTCGAGAATTCATTATATGTCGTTTTGGCATTCCTAGAGTAATCTTGTCGGATAATGGGACCCCTTTTGTCAACCGCCAAGTGGGGAAACTCTTAGCCTCCTACGATATCACACACCATAAATCAACGCCTTACTATCCCCAGGGGAATGGACAAGCTGAAGCAACCAACAAAACACTCCTTAGAATCCTTTCAAGGACTCTTAAGGATTATCAAAGGGACTGGGCACATGTGCTTCCAATGGCGCTCTGGGCATACAGAACATCCAAAAGAAGACCAACTCAAATGACCCCATTTTCGTTAGTATATGGCACAGAAGCCGTCCTTCCAGTAGAAATTGCCATACCATCAGCTCGTATGGCCCTCCGAAACGGAACTAGCCCGTACTCCAGGCCATCAGAGCTGGAAGTCCTTGATGAAAGAAGGGACAAGGCCCAGACTAATCTTAGAGTTTACCAGAGTCGTATAGCTAAAGCTTATGATACTCTGGTACATCCAAGACAGTTCCAAGAAGGTGATTTAGTGTTGCGGGCTGCACCTCACGTCATGAGGGGAACATCAACTCACAAGTTCACACCCAAATGGCAGGGTCCTTTTGTAGTAAGGGACGTCAATGAAAATGGCTATTACAGAATTTCTGAGCCTGATTCTCAAACCCTCTTAAGCCCCATCAATGCGAAATGGCTGAAAGCTTACTATCCTTAGAAATTACACATTACTGTACAATGTAATACACCAAGATGTATTATTTGGGCTTCTTCAATGAATATCGTCCTTTTTCACACTTATTCTAACTATAATCACAAATAATAAAAAATGACGCTTTAACTCGAAAGTCAGCTCCATTAAGTAGTTAAAGATTTTCAATTACAAAAAAAGAAAGGGAGGCCCAAATCTCCAACATACAAAAAAAGTTTTAGGCTATAAAGCTATCATATGCTATAAAGTTATCATATGCTACAAAACTATGATCCAACTAAGTCAAGACTCTGGAAGCTTGATCTTCTTCTTCTTCACCCTCAAATCTTGCTTCAAGAATCGCTTTCTTTTCTCTCAAGCTAGAAGACACCAATTCTGCTTCATTCAAAGCTTTCTGTGCTCGTTCAAAAGATAGCTTACGTTCCTCCTCCACTTGTCTACCTCGCCTAGCTCAGCCTCAATCATCCTCCTCCTGACCTTGGATTCAAGAAGGGATAACCAATCATCCAACCAACCCACCTCCAATCTGTTAATACGGCCATCTCGAAATTCGCCCAAAACAGCACGTTGGGCCAACACCTCATCAAAAGAAGCTGTCTCTGGGGATAACTTGAAATTCGCCCAAAACAACACCTTAAGGAATTCTCCAAAACCATCCAAAAAATAAGTCCGGAGATAAGAGCTACCCAAGTGCATGAAAGTGGTCGGTTTATAATGAAGAACAAAGAGCAGTCGAGGAAGTAACTCTACTTTGACCCCGGCAAACAACACAGCTGGATCCAATAGCTTTTCCTTCCCATCGATCCCTTTAAGAACCACACTGCCACAGGGAAGATGAATAGGAGAAAAATCTCCATCAGTAGCATGAATGAGGGAATAATCTCCATCAATAGCTGGCAGTGATGGTCTTTGAAGGCTACCCCCAATATCACTAGCACCTTTCTGAATGAAGCCAAACAACTCGCGTGCGAGCACACCACCCAAGTTTGCACCAACTGAAACAATAGGCGAGTTGATTCCAACTTCGGAGCCCGAAGGAATGATGGGCACATTACTCTCTAGGCCCGCAGAGGTTGTAGAAGCATGTAAAGAAATGGGCGCAGAAGAGCCTATGCCGCATGACAAGCTCACGGATGTACTGGCACCTCCAACTCGTGAGCTAAGCACATCGCTATGTGAAAAATTACAACCACCTTCAAACAAGCGAGCAATAGGGACACCACCTCCAATCTTGTCCCGCAAAGGAACCAATGCATCCCTAGAACTTGATGTATCTAACAAAGAAGGCCTAGCACTAACCATATCACATCCAACATCGTCTTCAACATCATCTCTTGCCCCCATAACCTCAAGACTCTGATCCGAACCCTCTTCATCATCCTCTGAATTTTCTACATCGTCCTCAGCACCTATGGGCAAGACTTTATGCCGTGCCAATTTTATTTGACACGCGCCAGCCGACCCCTGCAAACAACACAAGTATTTTAATACAAACGTATTGGAAACTCCACAAACTCACAAATAATTCCAAAGTACAAGATATGAGTTTACCTGTGACGAATCAATGGTGTCAGTCGAGCAACCCCTCGCTTGGCGGGCAATCCTGGTTTTAGTAGGCGGACCTATACCTCTAATCTGTGGAGGTACTCTCCCAGGCACTGGAACAAGAACGGAGGAAGGGGGTGGCCTTTTACGCTTGGCACTAGATGGTCGGTCAGGAGAAACTATCTGGGATTGTTCCAAAGCAATAGTCACCTTAGATAAACGAGCCAATGGGCTGAGTTCCCCCCTATCTGCAGCTGACAAGCCCCGATCTCCGCGAGCCATACATAACTCAGGGTCATCAGACGGAATGAGCTCAACATGGATTGGATCAAGATCACTACTCAAGAAAGCCCGAAATAATGCAAGATTGTATCTCCAATACTTCCTTCAACTAGGGGTGATTCCGCCAATTCTACCTTACTTGCTAGCACAACTCGCCCCCAACGCCTTAATTCTTCTGAAAGAAAAGAGTATACATATAATTGCATACAGTCGGCGGCCGAAGGCACAGGAGAAGGAAGATGTTGAGGAACCCCTTGGTCCAAACCAAACTGTCGAGCAACCCTCAAAGGATGATAGGCCACCACACCGTATGTGCCATCCAGAAAATAAGGTAAATACCCAGAAACGGTGCTAAGAACCATCGCTGAATCCGCATCCCCCAAATAAGACACACCCGGCTCGAGAACAAGCTCGCAATCATCTAGGCGGTAGGCAACGGTAGAAGATACTCCACAAACTGGCATAACATAAGGACGAGCAACAAACTTGTCCTCAAAATCAAAAATGCTGGCCAAACTCCCCTGTACACATCCCTCAGCCCACCTAGCAGAACGCGGCTCACTTTCTTCAATGGAAAACACCTTTGGCATAGGGGCCAAGCTAGGAAATCTCTCATACAAAAACAACTGCAGAAAGGTAGTAGGGAGGAAGCTGGTAACATCGTATCATCCTTTGGAACGATCAACACCCTCCTGATACATATCTAACCTCCTATACAGCCCCCCCAGAAATAAAGGAGCCAACGGAATCAGACGGCCGAAAGCAAGAATCGCAGCACGAGGAAAGAGCTCATGGAAAATACCGTCTTGGGGTTTACCCATCAAGACGTACCGCGACAGCCAATATGTAATGAAAGCAGCTAAATGCTCAATACTCCCCCACTTGTCCCCTTCCATCCCTAGACCTATGAATCCATCCTCCGCATTTCCTTGCACCTGATGGCTAAAATCTCGAAACCAGTACCGAAGCCATCCCCCGAAAGTGTACCCCTTTATTAATTATACTCGAGATGTTACTAACACTTTATTTTGATAACGACTTAATAACTTCCCTGCCGGTGCCACGGCCTCCTCCAATCTCCCAACAATAGCCATCTGGCTAAGGGACAAACTTCCTACGCTAGGGTTCGCCGATCCAAGATGCTCTAACCCCGTCAAAACAACTACATCCTCTAGAGTAGGGGTCGTCTCGCCCCATTGCGCAATAAAAGTATGAGAGCTTGAACTCCAACGTGACAATGCGAACCCCAGCCAAGATGGCTCCCATCTAATCCGCATACACTGAGAAATAGCAGTAGCAATCTTAGCTCCAGCAAGCACCTCACAATATGAGGGATGACGAAAGATAGCTGCGCTCCAGACATCAAAGTCATCTTTAGGCCCCGTATAATCCTCAAAAGCTGGAAAAGAATACGGATAAGTGCCCCTCTCCACATGAAAACGTACGATAGACTCTGGAGGAACAAAAGCTTCAACCCCTTTTTCTGGCTCAAAAAATAACCCACCAAGAAGGAAATCAGTGCGAATGCAGTCGGGACATCGCCATTATCATCAATAAATCCACCCTCGGCCCAAAACAATCCATGGACACCACCATGAAATAGCAAGATAGGTGCCGATCAGCTTCCAACAATCTCATGTCGCAATAATTCATCCCCCGCCACTCCTGAGGGGTAAAACGGGTGGAAGAAGTGCTTTGGAGGCATCCCGGGTGCTCTCATCTAATGAGAGCCATATCATAGAAAGAGGTTCGTGCTCTTGGATCTCTAAACACCAGCCTTTACACTCTTTTGAACTTGGAAAGCTGCACTCGCTTTCATAGACACTAGCTCGAGACGTTGTTGAGGAGTATATATATATGTCACGGTTATCTTGCACTGGGAGATTATGTGTGTCGAGGAGTACTCATACAGAAGTTGCATCGGATACCCTTTAGCTTTATTGCATAGTGCAGAAAGCGAGTGCTTTCCTTACATCAACACCAAGATGTCAGCGAATCGAAATGTATCATTACGGCGGTTTTGAGTATTTGGTGCATTTTAAAAAAAAAAAAAAAGTTCAGAGACTCTTCCCCCCGCACCACTTCTCGCTCGCCTTCAATTTTCTTTATTTCACTAAAAATCTTTTCTTTTTTTAAAAAAAGAAAGAAAGAAAGTTCGGGCCTGCTCCCCTCGCACCCTTCCCCCTCGCCTTCAATTTTCTTTATTTCACCAAAAATTCTTTTTGTTTAAACAAAATAAAATAAAATAAAAAATTGAGTTAAACAGCAAAAACTCATGATTTTGAAAATAATCTCCTCCCCTCGCATCAACAAACCCATATGTTGGATAGCCCCTTCGCCTCGCATAACTCTTCCCATCCCAAAAATAAAGATTAACATAAAAAAAAAAAAATCATATTTTGAGATAGCTCTCTCCTCGGCATAACAAAACCCATATGGTTGTTTTACCGCCGCCTTCCCCTCGCATAATCCCTTCTCGCTTCCCCCCCAAAAAAAAAAAAAAAATTGAAGATAGCCTCTCTCCCTGCGCATAAACGCTAAACTATATGTTGTTAGCCCCTTCCCCTCGCGATAACTCTTCCATCAACAAAAAAAAAAAAAAATCAATATTTTGAGATAGCCTCTCTCCCTGTCATTAACAAAGACACCATAATGATTTGTTTAGCCCCTTCCCCTCGGCATAACCCTTCCCCCCCGCCACCCAGAAAAGACAAAGAAAAATCATATTTTGAGATAGCCTCTCTCCTCGGCATAACAAACCCATATGTTGTTTAGTCCATTTCCCTCGCATAAACCCTTCCCCCCCCAAAAACAAAAAAAAAAAAAAAATTTTTGAGATAAGCCTCTCTCCCTCAGCATAACCAAACGCATAATGTTTGGTTAGGCCCCTTCCGCCTCGCATAAACTCTTTCCAAAAAAAAAAATAAAAAAAAAAAAAAATGCATAATTTTGAAGATAGCCTCTCTCCCTCGCATAAACAAAACACCATATGTTTGTTTAGCCCCTTCCCCCTCGCATAACCCTTTCCATAAAAAATAAAAAAAAATTAAAAAAAAAAAAATTATATTTTGGAGATAGCCGCTCTCTCCCTTGCATAACAAAACCCATACGTTGGATAGCTCCTTCCATAACCCGCTTCCCAAAAAAAAAAAAAAAAAAAAAAAAAATTATATTTTGTGAAGATAGCCTCTCTCCTCGCATAACAAAAACCCCATATGTTGGTTTAGCCCCCTTCCCCTCGCATAACTCCTCCCCAAAAAAAAAATAATAAATAAATAAAAAATAAAAAAAATTTTGAGATACCTTCTCTCCCTCGCATAACAACGCCATATGTTGGTTAGGCCCCTTCCCTCATATAACTCTTCCATCCAAAAAAAAAAAAAAAAATCATATTTTGAGATATGCCCTCTCTCCCTCGCATAACAAAACCAATATTTTGGGATAGCCCCTTTCCCTCGCATAACCACATCCCCCCTTCACTTCATCTTTCTTTCACGAAAATTCTTTTTTAAAAAAAAAAAAAAAAAAATTTATTTAATTACTGTTTTTTTTTTCCTCCCTCGCCTGCATTTTTCTTATACTTCCGGGATTTGTTTGCATGGGCTTCATCTTTATAGCTCCCTTTTATTTTACAGTCCTCTATTACCTCAATCAATTTAAAAATAAATATAAAAAAATTAATTAAATTAAAATCGGCCCCCTATCATTATTTCATTTATTTACCTTATTTTTATATTTCTTCTCCAAATTCTTTTAGAGCCTTCCCTCGGTTCCAATGCTTTTCTGTTACAACGCCTATAAATCATAGAACACAATAAAACTCATAACTCGCAAAATACAATACTAAAAATTTTTTGCCAATTAGCTCTCTGATATTTATTCTAAAAACAAGTTTTTTTCCCCCCTTTTTTATTCAGCATACACTTCTCCATTATTCGTTATTAATTACTTTCAAACATTTTCTTCTCCTTTTTACCTAATTAACATTTTATTTATGACCTTCCAATTCTCCAAAACACCAAACTTTTTTTTTTTTTGATCTGCCCTCTTGCTAAATAAATAATAATATAATAAATAAAAATACAAAAAAAAATAATAAATAATAATAACAAAACAATAATTTTTTATTTTTATTTCGTGGCTCACCTCTGTTTTTTCAAAAAGCCTCCTATTTTCCACAAATCAACACCAATATATATATATATATGAGTCCCTATAATTATGAAACCATACATCAAATTCGCACTGAGAAAATACAGCATACCTTTCAAGCCCGTAGCAGCTGCCAATCGCGATGAGCTACGCGAGTGCTCGCGGATCTTCTTTCTCCCCTTCCTGGTTCGTTGCCTTAGGAATTGCCCCATAGCAATTTCCCCTTAGAAACCTAATTTACCGAATCAACAAACCAAGATCGAAACCCAGCCCTTTCTGCCGATGGCTCACACAAGGTTCTTCGATAAGTCCCAAACAGAATCCAGCCCTAGCAGGCATTAGAACTCAATCTTCCGATAGCCCAACGATTGCTTCGGCAGCCCATCCATGACACAGCACTTTTCTACCCTCCTCTATCTCCCCTGCCCGACTTCGTCCTTTTCCCTTTCGCAACTTCGAAGTTTGGTTCCCCAAAACCTGCAACCAAACTACACAAAAATCCTACCACCATCGACAATTTTGAGACCGGTAGAACCAACGGTGGGCAGAAAGTGTGATGCGCTTCCGTACCTAACAAATCGTCCTAGTCGGGATCTCATTTCTTTGGTAGTCTGCCGGCCGGCACGCATTCTCCTCGTGAGCGTGTCAACCTCGCTCGTCCCAACTGTAGTCTGGGATTCTCCTAGTCCTTTCCCCTAAGTTGAAATAATCTAGGTTTTTTAGAAAAGAGAACTAAAAGTCTACCTAAAAACACAAACTTGCTAGCCTCCCTAATGGTATAGAACCGCGAGCTACGGTAACCAAATCCATCACACACTTCTGTACAAGGCACAAAGGAACAAACAGAGATGCCTGATCAAAAAAAATATAAAAGAAAAAAAAATAAAAATAAAATCAGTTGAAAATTATATATATCTTTATATCGTGATATATAGTCCGTATTTTCTAAAACGACAAGCCTCAACTTTTGGGAAATAGTTCCAAACAAGTTCAAGTTATACCCAGAATATACACAATCTTTTACGTGGCAATAATGCAACGTTCAAGCAGGGCGAGAAGTTAAAAAAAAAAAAAGATTTTATATATGTACTGAGGTTGTACCTTCCCAAGGAAAATCTTTAAACCAATCAAAAATTCTCTTTGCCTGTTACAAATATTAAAAGTAGACTGCAACAACCTTAGACTCTTCAAACAAAACGCTCAAGCTATCGCACGCTACCAAGCAGCTCCAAATCAGCTACTATTAGTAGTCTGCTCTAAACCTATAAGTCCAATTGATGAGTCTCCATAAATCGCTCTTTCTCAACAAAAAGCTGCAAAAGTCAATGAATTCACCCCCTCTTCCCCGTCTTTATAAGAGAGCACAAATGCAGGACAACAACAGACAAAAAAAACGCGAGCAAATTCATATCTAATTGCTAACACTCTCCTTTCAACCCATCCTCTCTAAATGGCTTCCAGCGGCCAGAGGCACCGAGATAACACTGTTTGGCGGCCGGTGAACAAGGCTCCAAACCCAAGAGGCCCAAGCTATAGAGCTTCAAGCTCCAGCTCTAAAGTTTCGAGCTTCACTCCTACTCACCGCCGCCCTGTGTGTGAGTTTTTTCGAAAGATGCTCTCCATGCCTCCATGGCAATTCGAAGATCAACTATTCGAATCCCCTTGGATCCAACACCCAATATCTGCTCATACAGTAGTAGAGGTGCCAGAAGAATTTCGGGGTAAAATAAGAGGATGGTACAAG